ATTAGTACTGTCCTCCTGTGTACTATGTGTACAGTAGTATACACTAAGCACTAGTCTGTTTGAATTCCCTCACTGTCCAAGCACCAGTGTGACAGAATGACGATATACTCATGTACATATCTTGTACAATACCACTATGCACCACTATACTTTGTTTAAGTATTACAAGACTTTATATACATACGCGTATACAGGTATTAGGTGCCTCTGGCAACCCAATGTATTTACTACTATAATGAGCCAACAATGTTTGTGTGTAAGGCGCGTGACGTCACTCCATGGCGACCAGCCCCCCTCATTAACATTCATGAACGGGTCACGTCACTCCGCAGAGCACCCCCCCCCCCCCCCCTCATTAATAATCAAAAGCACGTGGGCTCCTCCACATGGACCCCCCCATTAATATTCATGAGCATGTGACGTCACTCCACATCCAACAGCCCCCCTCATTAATAATCATGAACTGGTGACGTCACTCCACATCCAACAGCCCCCCTCATTAATAATCATGAGCAGATGACCATATTCTTTGGGTCTTTCGGTAAAGTCACGGATCATCAAGACGTCCACCAACTGGGCCCCCCTCCCTCATTAATATTCATGAGCAGGTGATGTCCATATTTTGGGTCTTTCGGTAAAGTCACGGATCATCAAGACGTCCACCAACTGGGCCCCCCTCCCTCATTAATATTCATGAGCGGGTGACGTCACTCCACATGGGGGCGAGACGCCTCCTCCCCCCTCCTCGGCGTCAACTCACAACCCTCACGTCACGTGGTCTCCGTAACGCTGTTGAGACATCGAAGTAAAAAGGACGTCATGATGAACAAGGGATTATAACCTTTAAAGTAAATAAGTTTGTGTCACCGCGGCCTTACTTATTGCACACGAATAGATGCAATGAATAGCACGCCGCGGTCTGATTTTCGCTTGAATGTTTCAGATTTACTGCAATATAGGTTTGTAATTTATTATTTAACAACGTGCAATCTTTTCTATTTCTCACGTGACAGTTGTTTTTTGTTTAGATTTTTTTAAGACGCTTCATTGCTGATCGGTAGTTTATTTTGTTTTGCGTTCGTGATTTTGATAACCCAGCTCAAGTCTTGCAAAATCCCACTCGACTCTTCGAGTTCTGAGCTGGCTAGACAAAATAATATATGGGCGTGCAGATGAGGCCCCTTCCTAACCTAGCTCTGAATTAACTTGGACATAAACATACACAACTGCTACTGCACTACCATTCTCTACTCGTGTCTAGTTGCATCAGTGCTGGCAATTCAACAAGGATGTTTGGCAGGGTTGTTATCTGTGGGGATACGGAGTCCCACTAACAATTTTGACAATGTTCTGGTAGTTGATTTTGATGCCATTGAAAATGACGACTTTTTTGCACACACGTGGCGTAGAAACAACGAAGTTATCAGCCACGTTCGTCGAGACTTTAAAATGTGAGTTTTTGTTAAATACAATTCTACATAAATGCATGGAAATTTATTATAAAAGTTGCATTGTTAAGGGGTATTATGTTCAACTTGTTTCGCACCTTACGCAGCCAACTGTGAAAGTTCAACATTCATACCCCCTTTCTTGAAAATGTAACTTTTATCATGAATTTCCGAGCATTTGTTTTAGTTTAATGTATGGAGCGAGCGACGACCGTGTGGCTGCATTACCATAACGGCGCGGCTGCGTTACCGTAACAACGGCGCGGCTCCATCACCGTAACAACGGCGCGGCTGCGTTACCATAACAACGGTGCCGCTTTGCAATTGGGAGCAGCGCTTCCCAGCAGTGGCAGAGGAGGCAAACGAGACGATCGCCGTTGTATTTAAATCGCCAAGTCTGCGTAATTAAAGCGCACAATATCGCTTAACAGACTCAAGGGTGATTGTTTATGGTGGCGTGCATTTATTACGTTATATCCAGCAATGTCTTGCGTGATGCATTTTTAAAGTAGGACAGTTTAAAAAAAATTAAGGCGGCAACGCACGCAGCCTTTCTTGCAGTAGCGTTCAGGGTAGTTGCTACTTTTTTCCCAAGGAACTAATCGGTATTTCTTGCAAAAACATGTTGAGTATTCATATTCTTGGGTTTTTTCGGTAAAGTCACGTAGGTAAAAAAATAAAATTTATAAAAGTTAAATAATAATAAAATAACAAAATAGAAATCACGACGTTTCGGAGGCAACACAAGCTTCATGTTGAGTAGCTTGTAGTTTTATCTTGCTACCTTTTCAAAGAAGCTTCCCAACAGTCAAAACGCATGAACACTTAGCCAAAGTAATTTGAAGTATGGCTAGCCACTGGAGCCACACACTTTTAAAATCTAGATTTCAAAATAATTTTCTTTAGAATTGCTTTAAGTGTTTAGTTTGTTGTCCTTCCCCCGCACCTCCGATGAGCACGACTGGCTAAATCCGGTGCGAAATAAGTTCCAACATACACACAACCTTAGCAACACATTGTATTTATATTACACACATGCCAGAAAGTAGAAAAGGTTAAGTCCTGCTAGGGGCAGTACCCACAAAGAGAGAAATTTATGCACACAAAAACACACGTTCTGAGAACGTTTTGGGTTCGACTTGCAGACTCAATACTTGGCAATGCCGATCGCCTGATCCCAACCTGGAACTTTACACGACTTGGCACCCCCTCCACCTCCCACTGCACTTTCGTCTCATTCCCACCAACACGCATCACAATCGGTTTCCTGTGACGCCATCGCATGGGACTGCGAGCGTAGAAAGTCTTCAAAATGTTGGGAGATTACAACTATAAGTATTGTTTTATTATACCGGGTAAGGCCCATCAGAGGATCCCACAAACCTGGCCCCACTGGGCAATGGTGTGGTACACACAGATCTTGCCTGTTAAAATACAATATTCGTAGAATCTTGCTGTAATCAACTAGAATCGGTGTTTTCGTTGGACTTGACACGTGGTCCTACAGACACCAATAACAATTCGCCCACATCCTTTCTGAGCAAGCGATATTGAATTGTAGTTAACTGCAGAACTCCAATCGTCACATATCACCTGCCCATAAAAACTACTTAGGTATCATTAATCTGTGTGTAATGGGGGGGGGGGGGCAGTAGAGTAAATAGGTCCCAGGTTGGGACCCGTAACCTTCATGTAATTCCTGTATCGATAGTATTTATACTAGAGTTTAAACTCCAATGGCCATCTATGACTATATACCATGGAATATTGTGAACTATATTACTACGTGTCTTGGGATTAAATACTGCAGTTCTAACTATAGTTGGCCGTATATGTATTATGCATATATTACTCTATGTACGGTACTGTTATACTGCCTAATAAGCATTAGTATTATTCTAGATTTGAAGTATTATTAGTGTACTTAACCCTCCTATTGATGAAATCGTGTTGCCCACATGTACTGTATGCTGTATATGACATGGAAGTTTATTACTAAGAGCATGTATTAGTAGTGTATTATCGTTGAATATGCCTGTGTAGTTGCAATATTGCACGTTTTCATATCCTTTGGTACTTTCGGTAAAGTCACGGAGATAGGTTCAAAGAAAATAACAAAAAAACTTTACCTTAAGACTAAAATAATATTAATTATTGCAGTGATCAAAGCTTTAAGTCAAGATTGCACGTTTCAGTGATGTTCAAGTGTATTACTAGGTGCTATTGTGTACGCATTAACATCAGTGTGTACTCGTGTTATAGAACTCGAGTTGCACACAACGCAATTTGTACACCACGTGGTTTATAGTAATTTGTGTATAAACATTATGTATTGTAATACATGTAACATGTTGGACTGCATATTGCTAATGGCCCATATATACTGTTCATGTTTTATAGTAACGTGTACGGCTTGTAATGGGACGATGTTTCGTGTAATAATGTACATTGCCAAGTACTATTGTGCATGTAAAAGCGTTATTATGTAAAACACTTATTTGTGCTACAAGTCCTGTCGCCATTATATGTATCTACATATATTGTATATTATGACTACATACTATGCCATATTGTGTACGTATTATCGTTCACTGATACATACAACACTTGCTATTATGAGACTTCATATAGGCACGTGGAGTACGATGTACGGCTCCATACAACGTACTCTCGTATATTACAATACCATGCCCTACTGTGTATAATTAGTATGTACCACACACTACTCGTATCCTACAAACCCATTAATTGTACTATGTTAGGACTACGTAACGTACTCTTAGTATGTAGGCTGTGATACAACAGCACTGTGTATTAGTATTTACCATACGTACTATCGTGTACTAGCCACTGCGATAGTACCACAGGCCCCCACGTGTACACTGTAGTATGACTATGTACAACGTGTAGTAGTAGTACTATTGCGCTATGTACGAGTACTCTTCGTACTACACAACTACCACATCTGCCTGCACGGAGCACACGGCCTCCGTCGCTACTACCGCCGCCGCCGCCGCTTCTTCTCGTGTAGGTCGTGGATGTTGTCCATCTATTGTTGTTCTATTCTAACCGCCAACACGCAAAGCGACGCGTTCGCTCGCACAAAGACACCGAGATATAAACACACGCAAACACAACAAGAGAGAGAGACACCGCAACTCCCGCCAAAAAAATCCCCGAGCACCCCACGCGGAGTCACGAGCGACGTAACCAACTCACCTCGTCACGGACTACGACACGACGCGCGCGGCGGCGGGACACACGCCTCTCCCGTCCGCATCACGGACGCACAGCGGCAGCGTAGGGGGGTGGGTGGGTTGGTGGGGTGGGGGGTGGTGTGGAAATAGCGCCGGCAGAGGGCGCGGAGGGATATAAAGCGCCCAAGCGTGTGGCCTCGTAGCGGTCCGCGCTCAATGGCGGCTTCCCATTGGTCCGCGCTCAATGGCGGCTTCCCATTGGCTCGTGCGCTTTTGCAAAGTGCACCCCAGTTTTTTTGAACTTTATTTATTTATTTGTGTTTCGCCCCGAGCGCACTTTGAAAAAGTGCGACTGTTAGAAATGCAGTCGACGTTGTTACGTATAACGAAGTACTTATACCGAATATAATATTACAGTTGTACCAATAATTTAATTACGACTTTATAATAAAACGTATATTAAAGTCGGCTGTGCTTTAGGTACCGTTGTAACAAAGTAACGGCACACTTTCATATCGGGTACACACAAACAGGATACACGTCTTATTTTAAAAGGTGTCGTTAAAACGCGAAACGCTTCCCAAATAATTAAATCTTATTCCTTAGCGGCGGTGACTCAACGCGGTTTGAGAACGCGCCCGGACGCGGGGTGACGTAATGGCCACCACGTTCGATGACGTCACCGTGACGTCACCACGGGTTACCGCTTCACAACATTGAGACGCCTTTACGAACAATACCAATTCATAGAAAGGGGCTAATACGAGCGCAGCAGCGCAGCGTTGTTGATTTAGAGTCGAAATTTGTCAACAATCTCCCCTCGGCACAAAACATCGCGGCGGTGAGTGTCTCGCGATATCGCTCGGGATTTTTTCGTTTGCCTGCGGCCTCGGTCTTGCCTAGAGCCGCTGCCGGGGGAGGCGAGGGTGACCGTGGGTTCAGGGTCAGGCGAGGCAGGCTCTGTTCCGCGACGTTCGAGTAGGCCTGGTTTCTTAAGATTAAAACTGCGGCCTGTGAAACATTGTAACCACGTCGTTTTGTGCGGATAATACCTTTCTAAAAATGGTCTCTGAGCCTCGGACATGAAGACTGCATTGCAATGACCCTAAAGGTGGCTTAGTGTGGCATAGCCGAGGCGATGAACACCTGAACCCCCATTATGCTAAAAGTCTGCCTCTTGCAACCTCTTGCAACTTGCCCCGAGCAGCAATAAACACAGAACATTCACAATCCCACTAGTACCTTAGCCTGGGCCCCGTGAGCTAAAGTCGTGCATTGCGTCGGAACCAAGTCGTTCCCTTGCCTTCCTAAGTTGTAAAGATCACAACCCTTACCTTTTAAGTAGCCGCCGGCGAGTTCTTGATATCTCTGTTGATCTTCATAAGTTGCAATCAGCAATGCATTCTGCACGGACGAGATATAGCAACGACCTCCTTTCCCCACGGACACCGAGAGCAGCAAGCGTGTTGTTGTTATTGTTGTTGATCTCCCCGTCTCTCTCTCTCTCCCCTTGTTCAGCAGTGGCCGCTGCTCGAGGCCATGGGCAAGAGTTGCAAGGTGGTGGTGTGCGGATTGTCCTCGGTGGGAAAGACGGCGATCTTAGAGCAGCTGTTGTACGGTAACCACAAAGTCGGTGAGAACTACAAAGACGAAGATTGCCCGACACACACCCGTGTAGCCTTAACATGCGTGTTGGGGTAGAGTGCTGTTAGCGAGTAGCGCCTATGAAGGCCGCCACCACGCCCGGCTGCCTTTGTCTCCCCAGTAGCGATGTTTACACACCGCACTGGGTACTCATTTGAGGCTGAGTCGACCTAAGGGAGGCCCCGGACCGGTTCTGATAATCGTCACTGGTGGTGTTGGCCGTGAGCGCAAATCGAACTCGGGTCGCCGGATTCGTAGCGCAGCGTAACGTCTGTATCTTCTACAAAACAGGTTTCTGTTGGTTGGCAAGGGGGTTAAATCGCGTAAGTACAGGGTGCTTCAAAACAATGTTAACACTTCCGATAATTTGCAACAATACCGCAGGAAACGTGGCCTCCGGGCTCTGGAGAACCACCTGCAGAAGATTCCAGGCACGTGCTGATAATGATGAAGCTATTAACATTACATTTGTTTTCATGTTACAGCGTATTATCCGTTCTTTTTCCATTAAAAACGATAGTCCCATATGAGTGTTAACATTTTTTTGAGGCACCCTGTATAGAAATGTGTCGTTAAACCCACCACCACCCAACACAGCCAATTAGTAAGGTTTGTCTGGATGAGGCTCGTAATTACTGGCGAAACGTCGTTCTCAGATTGTAAATGTTGCGGCTTTGCTCTCTAACACACCGGTGTGCTGTACTAATAACGAATTGGCACGTTCTGTTTACGTGACAAACCTTGCTAATTGGCTGTGACGGGTGGTGGCGGATTTAACGACACACATATTTACGCGATCTAACCCAAAAAAAATCTGTATTTTGGATGTTGGTTGCGAAAGCCTACGTGTAAAACTGACACTTGTATCTGTTATCTGAAATGGGCGTCTCAAACTGCACACGCGACGCAACACATATGAGCCTGAGGTCTCCCAGACATCCTTTAAGTTTTCACAGACTTATTCCATCATTAGGTGTACGGGGTGGCATTTCCACAATTTTATCTGCAACAAATTATTCTCATCTTTGAAACGGTGTATCTGCTGTATACGTTGCCTTTCTGCCAACATGAATCAACTCCCAACACGAATCGGTTTATCTTTCTAAGCGAGTAACAAACATCCCAGTGCTGAGCGGTTCCAGAGCAGTGTTCTTCACTCATTTTCAGAGGGTGGCCACTTTCGCCGATACGACATCGTCTGTGTGAGGGCCGCCACACATTTGAAACCATTGGGGTTTGACAGCACGATGATGATAATGCAGCGGTGTTGTCACTCTTTGTTTATTGTTGGGGGCCGCACTAAAGGCCACCAGGGGCCGCCAGTGGCCCGCGGGCCTTGCAATGAACAACACTGCTCTGGAGTGTCTTTTGGCCTACTCTTCCACACTTGGAAGACGTAGGAGCACACACCACCGCACGTCGACTGTAGTATGCTCTTCGTTCATGTTATGCGTAGGCTTTTGGGACCAATAGGGTTGGTAAACAGTTTATTTTGCCGAGATTGGGTAGATATGGCAATGTTTATAAATTTGCGACAATAAAATAAAGTTGTTACGTGAGCGACACGCATGTAAATTGTTAATTAGCAAAACCGGAATGTTGAACGGCAAGCAACATGTTTAACTATTTTTATATACAATGTCATCGGGCGTTAACAAGAGCTCAGATCTCACATTATTCATTGTCGCACATCCCGTATTGCTAACCCGGTACACGAAGTATGGCAGAAATTATTCACATGAACTAATCGGCTCACGGAATATCATACCTCTCAACCCATTGCCAGTGCCTACCTTATTACAAACCAATTCAGACCTTTTTGGTAACCCCGTGGCCTTAGAAATCTCAACGTTTATCCTCACAAAGTCCCATCACATGGGCGAAACACAGAAAAAAAACTATTTCCCGTATTGAAACGGCTGTACGCCATATGGACATGAAAACTCAATTTCCCTGTACAAGAATATGTGGTATACCGTACGGGTTGGCGGCTAGAGAATATTATTGTAAGAATGCCGTGAGGGAAACGGGGTTCGGCCAAACAAAGCGGCCGTCGGATGCTGCAGGCTCGGAGACCAACGAGACCCAGGAGGACATCTACGTGGCGTCGATGGAGACGGAGCGCGGCGTGCGCGAGCAGGTCCGCCTGTACGACACGCGCGGCCTGCGCGAAGGCGGCGTGGAGCTGCCACGTCACCTTCTCGCGCTGGGCGACGGCTTCGTGCTCGTGTACAGCATCGACTCGCGCGAGTCCTACCGCCGCGTCGAGAACCTCAAGAAGGAAATCGACAAGGCCCGCGACAAGAAAGAGGTAGTCGGTGGTGGTGGTGCCAGCCATGGGGGGGGGGCGGTCAGTCTGTACTCCAGTCATGCCTTCTAGGTATCAAAAAGCTCCTTCTAACCATGAGGAACCAGATTTATAATGTGATGTTTTCGAATGTTAACTTTGTATAATGAAGAAAAGTCTTGATAACTCATGTGGGGCAAATGGAGTCTTCGTGGGGCACTTAAACTGCGAACATTTCACGGGATTTGCTGGTATCACTGTGGCACCAAATGTGCAACTCATGTTATCAAGTTGTCTCAAGAGATATCAACTTGGTAGCATTAATAGCTTTACATAAAACACATAACCTTGCTCTGTTATGAACAGTGAATAGTTACAGAACAGTGAATAGTTACAGAACAGTGAATAGTTACAGCCAATCAGAAAATCTAATCTCTTTATACTATAGTAGAAAAGTTTTTTGGTTGGTTCCTGCCTGGATTCCTGCCTGGATTCCTGCCTGGTGCCGGGCCAAGTGCGCATGTGGAAGTGACGTCACATCGCACATCTGTGCAAAGATGTCACACCGCATTCCACGGTGTTGAACCGGGTTCGTGTGGCGTGTTGAAGTCATGCCTCTCCGCCCACCCGCTCTCTACCCCGGCCATGTATGACGCGCAAATGCGATAGAGGAGAGAGACGAGAGGAGGGAGAGGGGAGGGAGGGAGACAACGAGAGGCATGGAGAGGGGCAGAGAGACAGTGAAAGGGCATGAGATGGGAGGACGGATTAGGGAGAGGCAAGAGCCATTGAGATGAAAGAGGTGAGAATAAGGAGAGCTAGGGTGAGGGAAACGGATGAGATAGAGTGGAGGAGAGGAATATATACAGGGAGCAAGAGGTAGAAGAAGGGACAGAGGAAACAGAAACGGATAGAAACAGAGAAAAGTGAGAAATCGAGATAAATTAGCACATACAGTGCAGAGATGGCAAGAGAATGTTGGAGATAGACAGGGCACGATATTCGTTAAAAAGTTTAGTTGGCTGACTGAAAGGGACAAGTCAAATCCAAGGGACTTGCGGGTTGTTCGTTATACGGAAAATTGTCCCTGAGTTGGCACGCTTCCCTTGGCAGGTAACCATCCTGGTGCTGGGAAACAAGAGTGACCTGGCGGATTACCGGCAAGTAGAGGCAGAGGCAGCCCAGCTTTGGGCCAAGAACGAGAAGGTGCGTGGATACACAATCCATGATGCCAGCACAGCGCAATCTCCGTGACTCAGGACAAATTAATCTGGAGACAGCCCTTCGGCAATAGCTCCGTTTAAATTGTAATTGACTGCCGTCGTCATGATTTGTAATTACTGCTGTGTTTGACACCCATGCACTCGACTTGCAATGTGTAGGTGCGGCTGTGGGAGGTTACGGTGACAGACCGACGGACGTTGCTGGAGCCTTTCGTGTACCTGGCCAGCAAGATGACCCAGCCACAGAGCAAGTCCACCTTCCCTCTGAGCCGCAAGAGCAAGGCAGGGTCCTCTTTCGAGAGCTGAGCTTTGGGGGAAGCATTCTTACTGTTCCTGAAGCAGCAGTAGCGATAAGGAAAATAAAACACACTTGCTGTTCAAGAGTCCCAAAGCCACAATTCCTGGTTGCCACAGCATTGGTCTTCCTGGTCTACCAGTGTGGTTGCTGGGTTTTTCATTACATTCCTCAAAAGCCTTTTCGCCTCCTAGCATGCAAACAAAAGTCAAATGGGACTCTCCGTTTGTGCACTGTAACATATACCACTAACCTCGAGATATATTTATTTTATTACAGAAACTTTTAGTTGACAAGTTTTTGCAACATTGTGAGAGCCTTGTAAAACATCTATCGGGAACATCTAATAGCTGATCAGGATTTGAATAGCAACACATTTGGCATAATTCTCATGTGGCGCACAGTGGAATCTTTTTCACGCTGCTTTGTCAATTTAAGTCGGTGGCTGCTTATAAAAGCTTTGGTGGTATTGCTTAAAATTAATTTGAGGGTAAACTTATTGTTGTTTCATAAGCTTCTTTTTCCAATTGTGTAGTAATAATAATTTTGATTTATAAAGTGCCCTTCGAGAATGTATCTCAGAGTTCCACAAATGTAAAGGGGGGTGGAATAAATACGTAATCGGGGAGAGAAAGCCTAAAGGGACAAGATGGAAAATTATAGAAGGCTTTAAATAGATGAGTTTTCAGTCAGGACTTAAGTGTCTCCATTGACTCCAAGTTCCTAATCTCCAAGAGCAGGTAATTCAGCACCTGGGTGCCATACAAATAAAAGCCCCATCACCCCAGGTCCAAAGCCTGGAGCATAGTGCATCGAGTAGGACACGATTGGTAGACCTCAGAGATGACGGTGATGTGTGGTTGAAACCTAACTGTTAGATTGGTGTGGAGCAAGCCCGTTTAAAGCCTTTTACAAAAGTATGAGAATCTTATAATCAACGCGGGTTTGAACTGGGAGCCAATGCAAGAGACATGCGCACAAGTCTGAGACATGATCCCGAATAGGGGTACGAGCGAGCACCTTGGCGAATGCACGTTGGATGCATGTACATTACGTACATACATTTCCTCTATTGCAAGGACACTGAACGTTAAAACGACCATCCTTTAGATAAAACAGACCATAGGTGTCAGCACTTGCTTGGGGAATGGACGGTCTATTGAGTACACAGATACTTCCTTGCATTGACGTGTATGCATGCCAATGAGTCATGGGGGAGGGGGGGGAACAAACATTGTGAACCGATCCTATTTGATCATGCTCGGCAATATGACACATCTTCCGTCTTGAGTTGCATGCATAGATCCGTAATGTAGCTTGCAGTGGCGAACCATCGCCAGTTGCCATTCGCAACCCTTGTTGCAAGAGACCGCTCGCTGTCCCTTTACAAAGTGTTATTTTCGATTTATGACCCCTTAGGACTAAAGTCATGACCACCGCTGCCTGCGCGCATGGCCCATAAATTGACACCCCAAAGAGGTGCCAATGAGTGCTGCCACAGCACTGCAGGATGTTACAGAAACTTTGTAAACTATAACGGACCCTTAAAACGGGCCAGAGGGCTGCAAGCCTAAAACAAATGACTGCAACATTCACTGCTTACTCATTTCGAGCAAGAATGATATCTTGATGCACCCTTGTCTACACGTAGATTTTTTTTTCATTCATGGAAAACAAGTTCTAAATGTAGGCAAATGCTTTTGACTGGGACAAGGATAAATCAATTTACATATTTAAAAAAACGATAACTGAATTTCCAAGCATTATTATCCAGCACAGCAAACTCTGCTCGACCACATCTGGTCAAATGTAAACAGGGAGTCCCAGAGCAAACGATAATATTAAGTAGCAGATGTTTCCCTTGCAGGAGAGAAATGTTTAAATTAGTTTTTAATCTTTGCAACTCAAGTACTCCCATTTATTTAACATAATGAAATTCTCTGTTGAAACTAGTTGGAGGATGCTCGGATAAATGGCATCCTAGCCCTTGGCTAGTTGCAGAATCGTGACAGAGTGGACTTGGCTTGCCATATCCTTCCAATCTGTGTTCAAGCGCAGTGGACTTGGCAGAAAAGCCAAGGTCTCGAACCTAATTTTCAGGAAAGATCTTGAGCGCACCATTGGTTTGTAGTGCACGCCGTGACCACGCAGTCGGGGCAGGAAAGCGTGTGCTAAGATGATGATAGAGCAGGACTCCCATGTTTATCCCAGCTGCTTCGATGACGATTTTAAGATTATTTTTGCGCCACAAGCCTCCATGAATTCTGAAATAATTTGCATGCATTTTCCTGTAAAAGGCTATCTTAACTGATGCATATTGTGATCGATATTGTTTGTGGTGTGTGTGCACTCACAGTTGGTAAAGTTTATTGTTGATAAATTATACATGTTTGGTAGCTGAGTAGCCAAGTTGTCTACACTCGTTATTGAGTTGACAGTCACATTCCTGCAGCTGCCCAGTAATTTCTGCAGGCGAATTACCAAAGTATGTTGTCTGCTGCGAAGCTTAAATTAAAGAGCCTGTTACATCCCATGAGTAAGCTATTGTCAAAAACACTTATCCCCCCCCCCCCCCCCAAATTCTAATGAAGTTCTGTTACTCGGGTCTCGGATTAGGTCATCTGTGAAGTCACCTCCCCACCGATTTGATGTTCTTGTAGCAATTCGAGGTCACGATTCAATACAAGAATCTGTCTCATTTTTACCACCTAGTTTGTAATTTTATTTCTTTACTGTTTTGTTCGCTTCATCAGCCTACATTTTTCAGCGTAGAATTTTAGCACATTAAATAATTAATTCTTGCATGCACGATTATATGCATGTATCATAAAGGCTAAGAATCGATTTAATTGATGCATCATTGCCTATTTAATATGAAATGGAATGTACCTTTCGCGAAATATGGATGTGTATTTAAGCGGAAGGAAATGGCACCACTACAACATTCCATGAGTCACTTATTATATATTATATTCAGACTCAGAATATTTATACTGGAGGAATCCGATGAGCTATGAAGCTCTTTTCACATGTCCAGTAGGAGCAGGTCAGACCGTTACAACAACAAACAATACAAAACACGATAGGAGTGAAAAGTATTGGACAGGTAAACAAGTCACTTAAAATATATATACAAATAAAACTTAACAATTTGTATCTTACCAGGCACAGCCTACTGAGATATTAGCTAATTTTTCAGAAGCGATCTGGCCACAAATGATAGCTCAACTAAATGGCTTATCATGTGGAAATGTATTGCAGCAATTTTCATCTAATCTAAATGCAACGCAGAATATTTATGCCTTTTTCATTTCTGCCGAACACTGGGTTTCAGTTACTAAAAAAAAAATCTGTCTTGGTATAATGTTTGGCCTTGTTGTGGTAACAAATCTGTATGCCGGCTCTGAGACTACTACTGTACACAGTTGATGACTGTTAACCTGCTCGTTATGTATTGTTGAGCACGTGTCGGCAACTGTTGTTTGTTTCTGAAAGACCGTGATGTGTTGTACTTGCGCGGTTCCTTAGCTTGTATAGATCGCATTCTCAACAATCCTCGTTATGGTATTACCTAGCAGTAGAAGTTTTTAAAGATGTTTTTTAATAGTGCATGAAGTTTGTGTGGATGTTTTATTTTAAGTATTTTGTCAAAGTGTCCTGGGTTTCCCTCCTGTAAATAAAGTGTTGATGGGTCTTAACCATTGTGCGCGAGGTGTGTTGTGTTGATGTCGCACCCAACACTTACTGGGAAGGGAAAAGCCTTTGGGGGTTTATCATCAGCATTGAATCTAAATTCAATTCATGGACATGCCACTGCGCTTGATTATATGTTGCCAGCTGTGTCCACCGGCTTTGTGCCTATTTTCGTACATGTTATGTTGCTGTTATTTTTGCCGTGGAAAATACATTTTAAAAAGGCCAACCAAAAATATATATTTTAAAAAAGTGAAAATACTTTTGGGCATGGTCCTGAAAAAGCATCTGAAAACCCACTGGCAGTTTCATGGATAAACAAAGGACATAATTACATTAATACGCAACACGAAGCAAGCACACGCGCTATTGCAGTCGTTTTCTCGTTCTGGGAGCTGGGACATGGTTGCATGGAGGCTATGTAGGAGAAGCTAGAAGCTTGCCCTGTACCCTTCTCGGCGTCTCGTTTCAGCAGCGGACTGTGGCTATTTTCGAGCGTCAGCTGATGTCAGGGACCACCCTGTGCTTTGCGCCTGAAATAGTTAATCCACTGTCTCCATAATAACGCGTTCACCCAAGCCTCGCGATGCCTCATTATATATGTATCTCAGGGTGCCGCGAAATTCTTGAATCGTTTTGAGTCGGTGGTGCAAGCACAGACGTGCTTCCAGAAAAGAAATCAGGAATGAGTGAATTGTGTTTCGTGCATTACTCTGGCCATAATTATTCAACACAGCAGCAATTCAATAACATTGCACGGTAAAAACTCAACGCATCCATCGCCTTGGGTGAAGGCGCTCTATATAAATATAGATTACCATCAAATGAGAATACACGGCCCTAAAATAGGAAAACAAAACGTACGGAAACGTCATGTTTTAGAACAGGTGGCGCCCAATCGGAAGTTTGCGAGTTTAAATCCTGGAACGGGGATTGTCGCCCCATCATCCCCCCGGGCTCAATCAAATGAGTCACTTTGTCAAGGAAGTGGAGCAATGGATAGACCCAGTTCTGCCACAGGAACAGTGACTTTCCAGCACTGGCTCACGGCGGTAAACGGGATTATGAGCACCACCTGAGTGCTCAGAGCAGAACGTCGCTGGACTTGTTGGGCAATGACCCTTCTTTACACGAGAGACGGCAGAGAGATTGAATAATAGTTGGTGACTAGACGATACAACGTGGGGCTCTGATATAAATTTAGTTTGAAGGATGTTTCCAGATGAACAGCCTTAAAATTGGCATATGAACAGTTAACCATAAGTCGATATTTAGAAATAAACATTATTAAAAAGTTTAAGAAAATTTAAGTAAAAACTATTTACTGAGTCATGATTCAATGCTAGAATTGTTAATGAGTTTTTCTAAAATTAACATTGCAGGAAACGGTAGTGGCCATGTGAACCAATCGCATACAACAAATCTTAGTGCAGCTTTTTTGTCATTCCACAGCACGATAAGTGCCTCCCTTACAACTCCACGCCATCTGGGTTGTAGGGGGGTTACATGAACATACGTCATGCTAGTTGGTGTGGATTGGTGGAGGCCGGTCGCATAGACTATCGAGCAGAGTATGGTACAACAATTGAATGCTGCGCTGCCCTCTGCTGACAAGCCCTGCAGTACCCGACAATGCTTGTTTTTTACATGGTGGTGACCCAACCAAGCACGAAACTGGCTCAACACTGCTTACCATTGCTCAGATCTGATGAGATCGGGCAATTCCGGGTGATTCGGTTTAGGCATACAACACGTGCAAATTAAAATCAATATGTAAATTATTTCTGGTGTGATTTCACACGTGTTTTCGTGAACTTAAGAATTGATATAAGTTGATTAACCGATGGGATCGTTACTCACGTATTACTGTAACTACACAAGTCTCTCTGGTGAGAAAACAATGTGTGCTGGTCAGCCAATAGAGACGGGCATAAATGATCCACATGTACATGGCAAAGATCAGTCCGTGATGCAACCACTTTTGACCCTTCCAATTTTACCGACCGAGAAAGAGACTGTGGGCCGAATCAACCCAAGACTGAAATTTGAACTCGCTACTTTCCGTTCTCCGCCCCTGGCGAGACAGATTTAGCCGCGCCTGTGTCTGTCCTACACGACGGCGCAGTCCAATTAACATCTCCACCGCATTAAGACCGTCGCGAATTACTTGCGCCGCTCAAGGAGCCTTGCCGGTGCCAAGAATTGGGGAGCGACTCCCGCGTCGCGTTCAGAGGAAGTGGCTTGGGGCATCTCGAGAGAGAGAGGAGATCGCAAACGACGGATCGGAAGGTGCGGGATAAAGGAGAGGAACGTGAGACGGGGAGGGAAACACGATTGGATATCCAGCTGATGGAGGAGGAGGGCGGCTCGCCACGACGTGTTTGTTTGGTGAGGGTTTAGGAAAACAAAGTCAGTTGGTTTGAGTAATCCCCCCCCCCCCTCTCCTCCTCCTCCTCCACGACTCTTCAATTATAATCCAAGAGCGCTCTTCGTGTGTTGTGTCACGAGGTGAATAACTTTCCATGCGGAACTCTTGCAGCAAGCAGTGATATCAGAACCAGAAGCTTATTATCCGAGTAAATGACCCATCGAGCTGTACGGCTCTTTTTGTTGTTCAAGGGTGACTCGGCATGCAGGCAGACACGGCAGCAGCAAGAGTTTATAAAATACGATGTTAAAAAAATATTTAAAAGTTACAGGAGCTCTCTGCCATGCAGTCTGCTGGCGGGTGTGCACTCTGCTTGTGAAGTCACTTACCAAAAGCCGTTTAATGCACACTGGGGCCAGACCTTTTATACGCCTTGTAAAATGTGGTCGTTTCATGTCACTCAAACTATATTTTTGTAATTCTCAGAACCTGCCCAAAGCCAAATGAATGTACACCTCGTCTGTATTGTTAACGCCTGGTGGATGAAGGCCTGCACACGCCACATTGGACACGGGGGTGGGGGGGGGGGGTATTTGACCATACTTCACCATGCTGGTCCGTCCGGGCCGGTGAAGGTGGCAAGCACTGATGTTTGAGCACAGCAATGATTATTTTTCCACACCGCCCTCTGCTAAGAACACAGCCACGCAGCAGTCTATAGCATCCGTTTGGTCAACGTGGTTGCATATCCACAAGCACTATTGAGGCTCGGTCCTGCTTAACTTCCAAGATTGGGTGTGATCCATGAGATTTGCTCAAAGGCAAAAGCGAAATTAAGTGGAATATTTTTTTTAACATGATCGTGTTTTCCATAATCGTTGGTAACCGGGTTGTGAGTGTAGTATTCACTCTTCATATAAGAGAACTTGATGTCATCACGGGCGACCACAGCCTGGACTTGAACCAGAAATCTTAACATTTGTGGCTCGATGCTGTTCTCAGCCCTGAGCCACCCAGCCACCTCGAGCGCAAACATCCTTGAGGGGCTGGGGCATTTCAGGCACCGAGACACCAAATTTGGGCCAAATCTCCCTGCCTCCTGTTCGAAAGAGATGTATTGTAAACATTGGCGCTCAAACACACATGAGTGTAGCCCATAGTCATAATTATGAAAATCATTGTTTACCGAGGAAAGCCTCACTGGAGGCACAAGACTCTTTCTCTGTTCAGGGATCTAAACTTAAACTAAACTATTTTTTTCATTTAGATATTTTGCAAAACCAACCTGACCACAAATGACAGCCCAACAAAGTGTTTTTTCACGTAGAAATGTATAGTAGCCAAATACTCTGAGAACGCGTTTCTAAATGTGGAGGGCAAAACCAGAGGACCCGGAGAAAACCCCACGTGACCATGGGGAGAGAGAGACGCGCAAACCCCAAATATACAGCAGGCATCGGGATCGAACCCACAACCTCCTTCATACCAGGCGAGGTAGTTAACATCTCCTAGCCACCGTGATGATGATGAGAGAGAGAGAGAGACACGCAAACTCCAAATACACAGCAGGCGTCAGAGTCGGGATCGAACCCACGACCTCCATGTACACCAGGCGAGGTAGTTAACAGCTCGCCACCACGGCGCAGCGACCTCGGGATACGACTGCGTAGGTGTTCGCAGTTGCGCTGTAAAGCTCTCCCGTGTGCTTTCCGGTCGTGGCGTGTGGTGGTCCGGTACCAACACCACTCGGGAGGGAGTTGGGAGTGCCCAGAGAAACCCACAAATCAAAATTCCACACAAACATCCTTGCCCCGTAAACCAAAACACTCACCGCCTGATCCTCGAGTGCCCAGGTGAGAGTGTATCTTAGCGGCTCAATCTGAACGTGATCCGCTATCCGTACATCCAATGCGTTGGATTACACACACCGATGAACATATTGATGTATGAACACACTCGAACACTGGTTAATATACAAATACAAAGATCCCCGTATAGCTTTAACAGACTGTTGGGACAGTGCTATTAGCGAGCACCTATTAAGGCCGGCACGGCACACCAGGGAGTGGTTGGTCAGCGCCACGCCCGGCCGCCTTTGTATCCCAAGTGGCAATATTTACACATCGCACCAGGTACTCGTTTGAGGCTGAGTCGACCTAGGGGAGGCCCAGGATCGGTTCAGATAATCGTCACTGCTGTTGGCGTGAGTGGGAATCGACTTTGGGTCACCGAGTTCGTAGCGCAGCGCGCTAACCGCTGCGCCACCGCTCCCCACACACGCACATGTAGGTCACCATCGCACCATGTATGGACCACCATAGCAGGGGTCGACGGGGTCACGTGAGCAGATGTGGTCCGGTGGGTCAGGGGTCACAGCGCTGAGTCAGCACAGCTGAGATCCTGGGCTCAAGTCTGAGTTTCAGCCACCTGGGATTAAACCGGGCTCGAGTGGAGAGAGTTGATGGTCTAAGCGCGGTCACCAATGACATCGAAAACAACAATGATAATTGTTGTTTTCACTTAATTTGGAAAAATTCCAGCTCTGCGAAGCAAAATAAAACCAATTGTGTGCTTGCTATGCAAAGGAAATTTCTCTGTGGCAGGGCACATGGGTACATGGGGCCCTTAGCGTTTAAG